ATGGGTGCTTATAACAAATGTTACTTGAAAAATTACTTCATAGTGGCCATTCTCACTGCATAGAAGTTACCTAAGATATGTAGAACTTGGGACACATTGTTTATTTGTGTGTTAATTAGCAGAAAGGAATTATAATTATTAAAGATAAAATTAAATGTGCAAAAGAAAGGAAAAATGCTCTATATTAAAACAATGTCTCACAAGTAGAGATTTTGTTGTTATTGTTTTGATTTTTATATTAGTGCTCATTGTATTACACATATGGGATAATTTCTTCCATACTCATCACATGAAACATTTTTTTTCTACATCGCATTCTATCACAATCAAATCACAAGGCAATGTTTCTCATAGTTACATAGCTAATATTTCTGCAAAGTTATTTATGGTTACTATACAAATGTTGCTATGTCTGAAGATAATTTTGCAACTTATCAAGAAAATATCCAGACTGTGGCATCAACTCTACCCTTCACTCCATCTCTAATTATTTCAGAAGGTCACCAATGTCTACTTTCTATGATTTTAAACATAATCTTCTAAAATTTTTCATACTTCCATCTAGAGGTGATTTGCACATAAATTGTGTTGCCTCTCTGCATCCCTTTCATCGTGGACTCTAGACACTTCTCAGAGAGTCTCTTCCCTCTGTCCTCTATTAATAGTGTCTGAATGCTAACCAAATGTCACTTACAAACTAGAAAACTAGTGTTAAACAATGATAATGTTCAATTTTTTTCAGAAACCACTATGCCTTAAGGAATAATTAGAATAGTACCTAAATAATCTGGACACCCAGAAGATGTGCCATATTAGTATATCCCTGAGTCACATAAAGTAACACTTTAAGTCTTAACCAAAGCTAGCTTTTCCTAAATGGTGACTTGAAGTTGTCAAGATTGTATAATGTTTTCTTTTTATTATCTTTGAGAGTTATCAAATAAGAACTCAGAAAATTTTCACACTTTGATTTATCAACCCAGTCAAAGTATCAGAGAATTATAGTATCTGCAGAAGCAGAAACATTTTAATATTTGTTCTAATTTATACATTTATGTTTTTTAGATTCAAAGTCTGATTAAAATATATATCATGAATAAACATGGACCTGAAGAATATTTGTACAAATGAAGTTGTGTACTATGCACATGAGACAATGCTTTTGTAGCTAGAGTTAGCTGATGGTAAATGGAAAATTATCAAGCCTTTCTAATTGATTGTTGTTTGAACATTTTTACTATATAATATTTTATTATTCAAAGCAGTACTATCCAAGCTAACAAACTTCAAAAAATTCCATTATATAAATGTACGACATTTTCATTATCCATTCTTCTTCTGATGGACATCTAGGCTCTCCTAATTTCTGCCTATTATGAATAGAGCAGCTATTATGAATAGAGCATGGATGAGCAAGTGTCTCTGCAGTAGTGTGTAGGATCCATTTGCTTTATGCTCAAGAGTTGTATAGCTGGATCTTGAGATAGATCCGTTCTCAGCTTTCTGATGAAATGCCACACTGATTTTCATAGTGGCTGCATTCCTACCAGCAAAGGATGAGTGTTCTCCTTACTCAACATCCTTTTCACAGTGCACTCTCATTTGTTCTATTGATCTTGGCCATTCTGACTGTTTACAGGATAGATTCATTTATTGATTCACATATGTTGAACCATTCCTGTATCTCTCAGTTAAAGGAAATGGTGGATAATATTTTGAAGTGTCCTTGGATTTGGTTTGCAAGTATTTTACTGAGAAAATTTTGCATCCGTGTTCATAGGTAAACTGGTCTGTAATTGTCTTTTTGATGTGTCCCTGTATGTTTTGGTTATCAGGGCGATAGCAGCTTTGTAAAAAGAATTAGGAAATAAATGTTTCTATTACACGGAATAATTTTAGGCATACTGGCATTAATTCTCTGAAGGTCTGGTAGAATTCTGTATTGAATATATCTGAGTTTTGGGGGGGCTTTTAATTTCTGCTTCTATTTTACTGGGGGATTATTGGTCTGTTTAAATTGCTTCCTTGATCTGCATTTTGATTTGGTAGGTTGTATATGTCAAGAAATTTATTCATTTATTTTAGATTTTCTAGTTTGGTGGAATATAGTTTTTAAAGTATGCCCCCATGGTTCTTTGGATTTCCTTGGTGTCTGTTGTGATGTTTCCCATTTCATCTTTAATTTTATTAATTTGGATATTCATTCTTTGTCTTTTAGTTAATTTGACTAAGAGTTTATCAGTCTTGTTTGTTTCCTCAAAGAACAACATCCTCATTTCATTAATTCTTTGTATTGCTTTTTGTTGTTGTTGTTGCTGTTATTTCATTGACTTCAGCTTGGGGTTTATTTCTTATCATCTGTTCTTTTGGAAGTATATCTCTTCTTGTTGTTCCAGAGCTTCCAGGAATTCCATTAAATCACTAATATGAGACCTCTCATGTTTTTTCATGTAGACAGTTAATGCTTTGAACTTCCCTCTTAGAACCACTTTAATTGTGTTCCATAGGTTTGAATATGTTGTGTTTTCATTTATATACACTTCTAAAATGTTTTTAGTTTTCTTCTTCACTTCTGTTTTGACATATTTTAATTTCAGTAGTGAGTTGTTCAGGTTCCATGAATCTGTAAACTTTCTGCTGTTTCTGTTATTTTTGATATGCAGCTTTAATCCATAATGGTCAGATAGGATGGAGGTGTTATTTCAGTTTCTTTGTGTCTATTGAGACTTGCTAGTCTCCTAGTTTGTGCACAGTTTTGAAGAAAGTTCCATAAGCTTCTGAGACAAAAGTTTGATTTTTAGTGTTTGGGTCAAATATTTTGTAGATGTCTACTAGGTCCATTTTATTAATGATGTTATCTAATAATAACAACATCATTTCTCTGCCTAGTGATTGTCTGGATGACCTATATATTGGTGAAAGTTGGGCACTCTCTCAGTTACTATCACTGGGGGGGGGGTGTCAAAATGTGGTTTTTGCTGCAGTAATGTTTTTTTTTTTTTTTTATGAACTTGGGTTCTCTTGTTTTGGTGCATAAATATTTAGAATTGAAATAACCTCTAGGTGTATTTTTACTTTGATGAGTATGTAGTGTCATTCCTATCTCTTCGGATTAAGTTTGGTTTGAAGTCTATTTTGTTAGATATTAAAATAACCACACCTTGGACCTATTTGCTTTGAATATTTTTTTTTCCATTCTTTGACTCTAAATTTATGTCTGTCCTTGATGTTAAGGTATGTTTCTTGGATGCAACAGAAAAATGGTTATTGTGTTTCAATCTAATATTTTAGTCTATGACTTTTTACTGCAGAATTGATACTATTGATATTGAGAGTACCAATGAGAACTGTTATTGATTCCTGTTACTTGATTGATACTGTGTGGATTCCCTCCATCTATTTTCATTTACTGTACAGTGATTATTTATTATGCATATCCTCTTGTATGTAGTTAACCTCTTTATATTGAAGTCTTCCTTCTGTAGAGCTCTTTGGGCAGATATAAATTGCTGAAAAGTGATTTTATGGTGAAAAGTTTTCTTTCCCCATGAAGTGTGCTTGATAGTTTTGCTGGGTATAGCAATCTTGGATGACATTTTTGGTCTCTCAGGGTTTATAGAACATCTATCCAGGCTCTTCTGTCTTTGAGAGTCTCAATTGAGAAATCAGATGCTAATGGACCTGGATTTGTGTTATTTGTTATTTGTTTTTTTACCCTTGCAGGTTTAATACCTTTTCTTGGTTCTGTAACATTTTTGTTTTTGTTTTTACCATGTATTGTTGGAAATTTCTTTTCTGGTCCTGCCTATTTGGTGTTCTGTATACTTCTTGTATCTTGATTAGCACCTCCTTTTTTAGATAAAAATATTTTTTGTGTATTTGACCTGACTTTCATCTCCTTCTTATTATTCCTTGATTTGGTCTTCTCATAGTGTCCTAGTTTTCCTGGATGTTTTGTAATTGTAATGTTTTCGATTTAACATTTTCTTGGATTGGGCTATCCATTCTTCTACTTTGTCTTCAAGACCTACTATTATCTCTTCAATGACTTGTGATTTGTTGGTAAGCCTTGCCTTTGAGATTTTTGTTTGGTCTCCTGTATTTTTAATTTCTAGTGTTTCTAGTTTTATTTATTGATTGTATTTCTAGTTTCATGTCTTAAAATGTTTTCATTATTGTATTCAACTGTTTGTGCTTCCATGGTCTTAATTGGGGCATTTATTTATATCCTCTTTAAGGTCTTTGAACATGCTCATAATTGCTATTTTGAAGTCCTTGTCTTGCGCCTCAGCTGAATTGCATTTTCAGAATCTTTTACTGGCTTTTGGAAGTGGCATATTGCCTTGGCCTTTCGTATTTGCGCCTTTGTGCTGGATTTAAGTAGCTGGAGTTATGATGTTTGAGGTGTTTCTTCATATAGATATCTGGCCGTGTCTTTATTAGGTGGGGGTTCTGCTGTGTGGTCACTGGTCCCAAGTGTGCTTCTGTGGGTCCTCAGGTGACAAAAAGGAATGGAGATGAGCTTAAGGTAAGAGGAAAGGCTGAGAAGGCTACCAGGGAAGAGCTGTGGGGGTGGGGTGTTAGGATCACACAAAGAGGTGGAGTCCCCAGGGAGTGAAGGTTGGATGAGAGGAGGAACTCCTGTAGGCAATGTTGCTAAATGACTAAGTTTTGTGGGATCCATGCAAATGATATAGCCTGCAGAGTAATGAACTGTGAGAGGCAAGAAGGAAATCTAGTTCAGCATATTTTAGGAAACTGGACTGGTTCAAACTGCTAGAATCTGACCCTAGCAGTTTATTTTTGACATATTTAAGCACAATATAACTTTGGAAAAAGGTTTCCTTGTGACAACTATCACAATAAAGCTGAGAGCATGACTATGTAAAAACTCCTTTGCAAAGCACATGTCTTTCACAATGTACATAGGATCTACATCATAAAAATGGGTTCTATTGACTTAGAAGCAGTGCTCAGGATTCTAGAGGAGTCAAGTATGATTCTGGGGGAGTCACGTGAAGCTTGAATCTACAGAATAACAAAAGATCACCAGGTTGTTAGATACATCTATTCCCAGATTTCTGAGCAAAACAGGTGTAAATCCTTTATGTTGAAGAGGAAAGTGTGTGTTTAACATTTCTGGATTTTTCTAATGCTTATCTGTGAGTATGAGGACCTTGTGTATGCCTATGAAGTGTAAGTCTGGAGATATCAGAACAGAGGACAGGAAGGATACTGAAAATGCCTACCCGTGTCTCAGCCCACTGTGACCACTGGTGGCCCCTGGTAGAAAGTGTTTATGTGGTTTGGAGGCTGACCCAAAGGGATGGTAATGGGCTAGAAGGGAAGGATGAGACCCTGGATCTGTACCTAGAGTAGAAAAAATTTTTTATAGGAAAAGGAAAACAATAATTTAAAGATACTTTAAAAAATAACTAAAAAAATCGCAAACTATTCAACAGTTAATATCTTTCATGTAGCATCATATTCTTAACATTGATATCAGCTGAATCTGTAAATTTTGATTTTCATATTGAATAGATGAAATGGCAGGTATTTATCTGCTATAAAAAGAAGTCAATACATATAACAAAACTGTATGAATTAAATGATGGCATTGGCATAGTATATAAAACTGTGTAAGCAAGATCTGAGCAGACAACTTAAAGAATTTGCCCAGTACTTAAATTAGGGATTATCAACAGAGTAGCATTTTCAAAATTATGTATTATTAAACTGTTTGCCCATATTATCTTTATATATATATATATATATACTAGCATATATATATATATTATATACAATAAAAATTGAGAGCATTTTCTAATGATTGGAGAAAAATACAACCACCTATGAATCTAGTAACAACCTCTGTAATGAAATGTTTTAATATGCCTATTGCAGCAATTGTCTCAAAACATAATTTAATATAATTGCTGGGTATACATGTAAGGGGTGATATCTGGGAAGATATGTAATTAGTGTCTAAATGGAGGCCCCAGACTCTAAGCAGTCAAGCACCATAGAGATCATCTCTACATTTCCCCTTGTCTACAAGTGTATTTGATGATCTCTTTCTTGGACAGAAACAGAAAGACACTGACCTGACAGCCCACAGTATAGATGCACCAGATAATACCTCAGAAATGTAAAAATGTGCCTAAAATTCTGTTGACTGAAACAGATGTAAAATAACATAATCCTAATTTTTTAATGTTGTGGTTAATAGCTGTTATTGAAAAGAAAATATGTTTAGATGATCTCATTAAAAAAAATTTCAAAATTCATTATTTTAAATACTCACAGATTTAGATTTACTTCTATTTACAATCGACTTTCACTTGACAAACACATGATGATGCAGGTCTTCCCAAATCCAGGTACATTCAACAAGTTAAGTTGTGTACATAGCAATTAGGATAACGAACTTTACTTTGCAAAAGAGTGAGAATTGCTAATAATGCTCTGAAACAGTATAAGCATTTTTATGATACTGTGTGGCCTAGAGCACACCATAGGCACTGCTGGTTAATTTTGTTTTTTATTTACTTTTTCATTTTTATTATTAAGAAATATTTTATTCCTTTTACATACCAACCACAGATCCCCAACTCCTCCCTCCTCCCTCCTCCCAGCCTTCCCCCACAACCCACCCACTATTCCCACCTCCTCCAAGGCAAGGTCTCCCATGGGGAGTCAGCAGAGCCTGGTACATTCAGTTGAGGCATGTCCAAGCCCCTCCTCCCTGCACCAAGACTGTACAAAGTGTCTCACCATAGGTACTAGGTTCCAAAAAGCCCACTCATGCACCAGGACGGATCCCAATCCCACTGCCTGGGGACCCCCAAATCAGTTCAAGCTAAACAACTGTCTCGCTTATTCAGAGGGCCTAGTCCAGTTCCATGGGAGCTCTACAGCTATTGTTCCACAGTTCATGAGTTTCCACTAGTTTGGCTGGCCATCATTCTACATTTTCCCATCATGATCTCGATGTCCCTTGCTCCTAGAATGCCTCCTTTCTTTCATCGATTGGACTCCTGGAGCTCTGCCTGGCACCACCTGGCTGTGGGTCTCTGCATCTGTCAATTTTATCCTGAATTGGGCTTCTGTGATGTTTTTTCTTTGAGAAGAATGCTTGGTGGTGTGATACTTTGAGTATGCTTCATGCTTTGTAGTTATTAGCATATTTTAGTTACACAATATTAGGCACAGTCTTTTTTTTTCCTTGAAGGTCTATTTTGGTTCAGTTATGTGTACATATGTTTGTGCATATGTACACATATGTGCATCTGACTTCAAGAGCATTAGTTGGTAAGAAATGTTAGATACCCCTGGAACTGGTTACAGGGAGTTGTAAGTCACACAATCTGGGTGCTGGGAAGTGAACACAGGTCCACTGTGAACCCTGTATGTGTTCTTAAACCTAAGCCACCTCTTCAGCCCTTTAAGCACATTCTTAACAAACCATTTTTAGAGGGTTTTACTTATTTTTCCAGCCATTTTACAGGAAAATCCTACCTCACTACTTCAGAACAACAACTACAGGCCCAGAGTTCTGGAATATGAACACAGGCCTGTGGCTATTTAAAGTGAGGAGCTACTGTATTCCGAGAGTAAGGAGATATTTGGAAACTTACTTAATATAAATCAGGAAAGCAAATGTCATAGGCTAGTTGACACAGAGGAATCTGAATGAAAGCAGTTCATGAAATATGTAAGCTCCTTTACCTTTTGTTGTCACAGTGGGCATAAATTAGAGAAAACCAAACTTCACAGAGATTTCTTAGATATCATTCAAAGGAACATTTGGCCTTTAACCGTTATTTGTTATCATGAATTTTGTACTGTTGAAAAAATAACTTTGGTAATTATTAAAATATAATTGCTTATTATTCAGTTTTAAATGATGATTATTGTAGTGTGAAGCAAATTATGTGTATATAGAATACATAGAAAAAAGTCTTAATTTTCTTCTTCTCTTTGTAGCCCAGCCAAAGGTTCCTTTGACTTTTTTTTTTCAACTCCCATAGCTCTTTTCTTCACAACCCTGGCCCAGCTCATTAAGAGTCTTCTGGGAATGTGAGGGGTCATTATAGAGATTACATCATGCTCAGGTGTGAACACACCAGTACTCTGGAACAGAATGGAGCAAGACAGGTTTCAGTACCTGAGTAGAATTCTTCTAATGTCACCAATAACACCATGTACACTTTCCCTCCCAAAATACACCCACAGAGAGTCGTTTAACAGCACAGAAATCAAAGCTTAGCCTTAAATTAATTGTTGGACACCCCACAGCTTTATATTTGGTCATTTGTATTCTGTGGCTATGTGCTATTTCCTTTTGATGAAAGAGAGGGAGCTGGCAGGTAATCATGGGCTATTTTTAGCATTGCAGCTCTATAATTTATCTTCTTGTTTGCATCATATATTGAGCTGTGTTTGAACCGCATCGTTGTGCACAGAGGAGTCCCCCCACTGACAGAAAACAAAGTGAATGGATTTCTGCTTCTGCAACAGCTTTGGAGGTGCACTTGAATTCTCAAAAAAAATGACAATAAATTAATCATGAAGATCCAGTTCTTAACTAAGTTATTACAAGACTACTCTCTGACTATCATTAAAATAGTTGAACCTGGGAAAGGGTGGCTGAGTTTAGTAAAATCTTATATTTATGTGCCATGGTAATTATTAAAATAGTATGTTACATGCAAGATTCCACATGGAATTCTATTAAGATGTCAGCATTAACAATACATTTTCACTAAATATTAATAGCAAGAACCAGGCAATGAGACCCTACAGTGAGCTCAGAAAAAAATACTTTGTTCAATATTTAATATGCCTGGTTTTCCTACAATATAGTTTATTAATAGTGTTTTATTTGCTTGGCATACTACCGGATGCCTACTGGAGCTGCTAGGATCCCAGCAAGAAATAGACTCACATCCAAATGGAAAACTGAGGATGCTTTCACAGAGGAACCTTGTTCTCCCTGCTGATCCATGTGGCATTTGTTCCAAGGTAGATTCCCCACTACTTAAGACCAAGGCATGCGGGTACACCGGTGTCTTATAAAAATGGGTAGTGTTTCCACATCAGCTGCAACGCACATGTCCTGCCAGATATTCTAAACTATCTCTAAGCTCATCGTACTCCCTGATGCAATGTGAATGCTGGATAGCTAGATGTGGCATATGTTGTTTAGTGTATAATGACAAGAAAAATATGTACATGTTCCTTTTTGTTGTTGTTGTTGTTTTGAGACAGGGTTTCTCTGTGTAGCTTTGTGTCTTTTCTGGAACTAACTCTGGAGACCAGGCTGGCCTCGAACTCACAGAGATCCGCCTGGCTCTGCCTCCCAAGTGCTGGGATTAAAGGCATGCAAAACCACCGCCTGGCATACATGTTCCTTCTGTAATTGTTTAATGTATGGCAAGGGAACCTGTGACTATTGAGGAGCAATCGTGTAAGATTTAAGATGGCTGCCAGAATCAAAAGAAGAGATGGAAACTAGGGATGAAAATAGTGGAGGTTTCCCCCAGCCTCAAGGAATGAACCAGGAGACTACTTCAGCCTGACAAAAAATTCAGCTACACCTCTGGAGCTTCCAGGGAGTTCTAACCAGGGTCATTTTCTTTTCTCTCTGACACTCTCTGAAAGCAGAAACTAAAGTGTAAGAGAGTCGCCTAAGCAATCTGTGGAAGCTGGCCACTGGGATATGAGACAAACGGGAAGGAAAACTGGAAGTAGTTCTGTTAAAGCATCGGGAGAAGAGCCAGTACTCTAGCGTGGACTCCTTTAGGCAATGCAGTATTCCCATTAAATGGAATGAAGAAAACAATCAAAATGAATAAAATACATGTTCTATACAAATCTTCAAAGTATAGCAAGAATAGAAAGCAAGTTAGAGGGAGCAATGCTTTCCAATAGAACGAGCCGGAAAGGTCTCACTAAGGAACTGATGTGTGAAGCAAAGGTGTGAAGGAGAAAGGGATGGGGCCCTATGGCCATGCAAGAAGGAAAAATTATTAGAGGGACCAGCAAACACGGCTCTCTAGAAACACAACAGATAGTATTAAGTGATTTGGTGAATGAGAAAAGATAACCAAGATAGCTACTGCGAAAGAGTAACTGGAGCCATGAACAGGATGAATTGCCA